TCACACTGTCTCGTACTAGTGTGTGTGTGAGTGTGTGTGTGTGAGTGGGAGGAGTAAACCATGCATGGCCCACGTTTTTCCTGCTGAAGTTGGCACTGTGAGTTACAGCCACTTCAAAGTCTGGTGTAAGGGTCTATTAACCATTGGTAATTGAAGTATCACTTTAAATGGCACTGAGTACGCTGCTCTCTCTGGACTATAAAAGGAAAAAAAAAGGTTGCATAGAAAACATAGTTTTATGAAGTCCAGCCTCATTACTAGAATGAATGCGGTGACATTTTGGCAGTGGCTGTGTAATGATTCTATAGCAGGGCTTTCCATGAGGGTCCTATGTAACGTGCTGGCTGTAATTTCCTCTCTGTGTTCACCTGTGTTTTGTCAGCTAGTAAATTTGTCATGAACAAATTGGACGGTTAAACTTGTCAGAGAAGCTGATTGCTGTTGAAATAACCTTTACTTTAAGTGCTCATTTCACATATTCTGCCACTTTATTTTCAAATGGCCTCATATAAAGTCCAGATGCTACCAGCACTTTCACACTGTACATTCTGTATGAGCAGGAAAACCTCTGGGTCCATTTACTATGACCGAGTGATTAAAAAAAAACAGTGCAAATATCTTTAAATGACTGAATAGATGAGTAAAACACAGGGATCTGCCCCATAAAAAGGCCTGCACCACTGCTTTTGTAAGGCTACATATATCTGTATGCAGACTAGTTTTTGACTATAAGCGTGGTTGCATTTTACGTTCAGATGCTGTTATCTCAAGCGTTAAATGTAGCATTATAAAAGTGCAGTTGGCACATTTGGAAGCATTTACATAAATCACACTTTCATGACTGTCTTCTTTTAAGCAGGCAAAAAAAAAAAAAAGAAAGAAAAAGAAAAAAAAGGGTCCTGGAAAATCAAATTAGGTTTTCAGAGCTTTGCGTTTTGCCTTGCCAACCTCAATATAATAACTGTAAAACTATTACAAACTGAGAAGTGTTGGTGTTGGCAGCTTGTCAGAGCAGGGGCAGTAAAACAGTGCCATTTGAGACAGGTTGACGTTTCATTTGTATTTCTCTGATGAGAAGCGGCGCAATCTGTTAATAATCCAGAGGCATTACCAACAACACACGTGTAAGAATGAGGAATGGTATCATTTCTTTGTCCACTGTATAAAAAATAGCATAAGTGTGATTGGTGCTAAGAAGTTCATTGCTTTTCCATCAGTATGCCATTTTGGGCTTGGGTACCTTCCAGTACTGTCTGTGCACCATCACTTGGAAATATTACTGTGTTTGAAAGAATGCATTTCCTAGGTTTTGTCATTAAAAAACAAAACAGATGATCAATAAAAAATGAAATTGCAGCTGATGATTGTTAAAGGAAAAGCCACTGTGGACGCCTCAAGTGGGAGAGACGCCTTGGTCAGTGGATCCCCCGCAGGCAAAGGCCAAAAAGAAAAACAGCGGTTAGAATTGCAGGAGTCCCGAGTCAATCCTGCATGTTTTATTTGGTTAGTTTCTCTCAACGAGCTTCTTTAACTACCAGTTATGATGTATGGAGGCCTCAGGCAATGTGCAAGTAAAACAAATCACATAGAAGGTATAGGGGTCTCTGTTGGGGAATTATTTTTCACATTATTTTTGCTGGTGCGAGGATAACTTTGCTTCTTTTAAATTGGTTACTTTCTGTGGGAAGCTGGGAAGCGTGCCAAACTCACTAAAAATAAAGAAATGAGAAAAATTTAATCCCTATCGCAAACACGCCAAAGCCAGGGAGATATTAAAGGCCGCTTCCGAAAAAATAACATTCCTGGAGGTTGGACAATAATTTCAGTTATACCACACGATATTTTGTTTTTGTACATGCGAGACTCATTCTCAGGTCGGGAATGGAAATTGTTGCTTTTGTTTTGTATCATTTCACTCAGTAGCTGTGTCACTGAGGAATTTACCCAGCCAGAAATAATTTAAAGTGATATTTGGGGTCACTAATGAAAAGGCTACTGTTTCCCCACTACACCCTGGGCAAAGTTAAGTCAAACTTGCTGATATCACGTGGGATTAGACAAGGTTCATTTATTCCTCTGGAAAATTATATTTTAACGAATGAAACAAAATACATTAAATTTCATTTCATTTTATTTCATTTATTTCACACTTGGTACAACAGTTTCCACAGTTAGTTCTTTCAGACAAACCAACCACACTTTCTATCGGTATAGCACTGTAAATAAACATACATATCATACCATTGAAATGCAGTTAGGTTGATGGAAATTCTGCCAGTTCTGCCAATATAATATAGACTTGCTGACCACTTTATTAGGTACACCTTACCAGTACTGGGCTGGATTTTTAGCTTCAGCACTGCTTCCATAGATTCAACAAGTTGCTGCCTGTATTCTCCGTTTCCTGTTCTTAGCTGACAGGAGTAGCACCAGGTGTGATCTTCTGCTGCTGACGCTTCACGGTTCAACAGATTGTGCATTCAGAGATGCTCTTCTGCAAACGAGTGGTTATTTGTGTTACTGCAGTTTGAAGCAGTCTGACCAATCTGGAAACAAGGCATTTTCACCTGGAGACTTGCCACTTACTGAATATTTTCTGTTTTTTGTACCATTCTCTGCAAACCCTAGAGACAATTGAGTGGGAAAATCCCAGTAGTTCAGCAGTTTCTGAAACACTCAGCCTTCTGGCACCAGCAACCATACCACAATCAAAGTCACTTAAATGATTTTTCTTCCACATTCTAACCATGTCTGCATATTTAGAGTTGCTGACATGTGATTGGCTGATTAGACATTGGCGTTAACAAGCAGCCGAACAACTGTACCTAATAAAGTGGCTAGTGAGAGTAGAAACATCAGTCAAAGTGGGTGTCATGAACTGACTCAAAGTTCAGACAATAGAAGGGGTTTGGTGGAGTCTGCACAGATAAATGCACAGTGGGTTAGACCTTTCAAAGAAAGAAAATAAACCCAAATCATGCCTGCCTGCTGGGGAGACAAGAGAATGTTAGCTACCGCCTACTGGTGATGGCCAGAGGGGCCGATGGCACGATATGGCAGCCTTGCCTCTGTCAGTCTGCCCCAGGGCAGCTGTGGCTACAACTGTAGCTTGCCTTCACCAGTGTATGAATGTGAGAGTGAATGAATAGTGGAATTGTAAAGCGCTTTGAGGGCCCTGAAAAGCGCTATATAAATGCAATCCATTATTATTATTATTATTATTATAAAAAAATAGCTCATGAAAATCCCACACTGCAGCAGCTTGTATGGTTGTTGTCTTGCTGAACCTGCATTCATCTCTCCCTCAACCCTGACTAGACTCTCAGTTCCTGCTGTTGAAAAACATCATGGCATGATGCTGCCACCACCATGCTTCACTGTAGGGATTGCATTGGCCAGATGATAGTGATGCCTCCAAATTTCCTCCAAATATGATTGGCACTCAGGCCAAAGAGTTTAATCTTTGTTTAATCAGACCAGACAAATTTGGTGACCATGGTCTGAGAGTGTTTTGGGTGGCTTCTGGCAAACTCCTGGCGGGCTGTCATGTGCTTTTAACTGAGGAGGAGCTTCAGTCTGGCTACTCGACCACACAGACCTGATTGGTGGAGTGCTGCAGAACTAGATGTCCTTCTGGAAGATTTTCCTCTTTCCACAGATGCTGGAATAATGTCAAAATGACCACTGGGTTCTTGTTCACCTCCCTGACTAAGGTCCTTCTACCCTGATCACTCAGATTGGCCGGGCAGCCAAGCTCTAGGAAGAGTCCTAGTGGTTCGAAACTTCTTCCACTTAGAGATAATGGGGCCTTTTTTGTATCATTCCCCAAATCTGTGCCTTGATACACTCAGATGTCTGTAGACAACTGTTGGACTTTATGGCTTGGTTTGCCCTCTGACATGCGCTGTCAACTATGGGACCATAGATAGACAGGTGTGTGCCTTTCCAAATCATGTCTAATTAACCGAATTTACCACAATCAAGTTTTACAAACATCTGAGAGATGATCAGAAACAGGAATGCACATGATCTCAATTTTGAGGATAAAAAGAGATTATTATTTAACTATTATTTAATATATTTTATAGAATTATCAATACTTTTTTATGTTTGTTTCATTGTATTCATTGACAAAATATCTGACAGACAAAGCTACATGAAGCACTGACTTTGACTTTGATAATCATTATATCAGATCTGATATTAATGGCTCTCTCCTAATTTGAACAGATAGTTGTTAATTTACCTTTATTCTGTTTTTATTTGTTAATGTGATGAACTGGGTAGTGATCATTTTGTCTCGACCTCGTCTCCTTTCTGTCATGTCCGCCTGGAGGTTGCGAGGCCAGTTGTGTGTCCGAACAAAATCCACCATGGCGTCAGCAAATGTAACACTGGAAAATCAGTTGCAGAGTGCACAGAAAAACCTGCTCTTCCTCCAGCAGGACCACGCCAACACGCTAAAGGGGCTGCATGCAGAGATCCGCAGATTACAGCAGCAGTGCACAGGTGAGAAGGGCCACAAGTAGGACTTCACGCTGCTGCGGAAGACCAACACATTTAATCTCCACTGGCTCTCTCCTAATTTGAACAGATATTTGTTAATTTACCTTTATTCTGTTTTTATTTGTTAATGTGATGAACTTGGTAGTGATCATTTTAATTGTTGATTAGAGAGTGTGACTCTGTTAGTGCAGCCAAAACGAGAAAGAGAGAGTGTAATGTCAAAACATGTAATAAGTGGAAGGAAAAAAACGGTTGCTGTTGTTTTACCGCCTACACAGTAATTGAGGAGCAATACTGCCCCCTGCTGCCCTGCAGCTGTACTGTCCAACAGCTTTCGTTCATTTTTATTTTTTCACGCATTCCAGGCGCTTTGACATAACTAAAAATCAAACCTAGCGCCTGAATAAACTATCATAAGCATCAAGAAGGTTATGACACGTCACACCTGACATAACAACTACTTACTTCGACTCTATCACTAGATGGCGTGTACGCCTCACCCCTTAACAAGTGACAGTTTCTGTTGCTATGGTGACGACGCTCTCCCCGTAAACGGTGGCACGTCCGTAAGAGCTGCTACTTCCACATTTAATGACGTTTAAAGGTTAGTAGACTCTATTCTACTTTTACGTGAGCTGCTTAGTTTCAGCTCACGTAAATTCAAGCTGTGATTCTAACCTTTAACTTTAATGTAACTGGTCAAAAGTCACTGGTCTGGAACATTTTAGGGTTGTATCGCTTAACGTTCAGGTTTCCCATGATGCACCGCTTTATTTTGTCTAGTAGCTCGGGGAGATGATAGGAAACTGACACAGCCACCCCTCTCTTTAACCCAGCGGAGGCGAACCCCTGACAGCAGCATCCTTGACATGCCCCACAAGGCGGACTGCGCTTAGCCGGTGTGGCTAGTCTGTTTATCCACATTTCCCGATATTTTAGAAGATATTCGACGGCCGAGTATTTTTAGCTGTAAGGTAAGCTCTCCGCCATATAACGTCAAGGTACTGTTGTAGCCTTATTAGCAGTTAAGCTAGGCTAGCATCAATGAAAGCCTCATAGCTTACGTAGTTACCCCGTTTTATTCGAAGGAGGCTATCGGCACATTAAAATATATGTTTCGTTTATCTGAAGCTAATTTTTGTGTGCTTCAGTTTTATTTGGGATTAATCTAAACACACTCAATAAAACTACATTTTAACTTTTAAATTGTTTTGTCTATTCCACGTCAGAAAAAGCCTTAATGTCGTTAATAATGGCATGGCACCTGCTAATGTGTGCGCATTGCTGCAGGACTTTCATCGAAAGTACGGATAAGCCCTGTTGGATGTATTCAGTGTATCCCGAATTTACCTGACCACCTCCACAAAGCTAAATAAAACCCCATCTTCATGCTAGGATTGGTCGGTTGCTTTGTGCGTGCAGCAGGCTGTTTTTGGGTGATTGTAAAGTGTGGTTTGGTGTGACCCACCAGAGAAAGAAAATGTACTGTTTGCTGGACACTGGTCAGCTCCTCCCTGGACCACAGTCGCACATAGCATTGGTTGCAAGGACAGCCTTTGTAATGACCCCTTGAAACGCAGCAATGGCATCCAACAGCACGCGGAGTCAAAAAGACCACAGAAAGTGGGGTGTTTTGAAGCCTTTCACTTCCACCGTTCGCCAGGCCTGATTTACGACTTTCTCTTATTCTTCGGTACAGATAAAGAAGGTCAAGTCGAGAATTAAGTCTCTGGATGAAGATTAACGTTAAAACAATGATCCTCTGGCAACTACCGCCAGGACCAGCGGAGGCTTCATTTCGGGGTGCTGTCCGCAATGCAGGTGCTGAAATTGAAAAAGTGTAGTGGAGCGCAGTCTAATAACACGTAGCGTTATCTGTCCTGTTGCAGTTGCAGGCGTTGTTTGTAGTTAGACCACTTAAGCTTTAGCTGCCTCTGCTTTCCTTTTAATGCTTTTGTTGATGACATAAACATGACTCTCTGTGAGGACGTGATTATTGTGGAGAGTAACCCAGACTGCATCTTTCCATAAAATACAAGCAACAGATTTAGAGAAGATGCTGGAAGGGAAGCTTCTGTTTACAGTGTGGAATCCAAGGTTGAAGGATGCACGTTTGCGTGCAGTTTCAGCGTCATTACAGGGCGTGACAGCGAAGGAGTTGTGGCTGAGGATAGTAGCTATTTGCTAATGTTTCGTTCTGCTGCTGCAGTTCATTGATTATTTATATTCTCTGTGTGGGGAAATACTGGTTGCTACATTAGGAAAAGAGAGTCAAGTAAACACGCTCAAATGGCAAGGATTTACATCTTAGAGGAACTGTCTTTCTTTAATTCACTGAGCATCCATACACTTTTTGAATCACCTCCATGCTATGGCATGAGCCATATTACTAAAGTTGGCAGAGGTCACGTCTTTGCAAGCGGAAAGCTATCAAAGCTATTCTAGGAAGGAGATGGGATGAGAGATATGCTTGCAGCGCAGGGTTTACCGGAAGGACCGCACATTACTCATCAATAATAGATTATCTCCTCAGCCTTTGTGACACACCCCCAGCTGTATGTGCCAGGCTGTGTTTTGGTTATCACATGTTTTCATGGCAAAAACACACAGGCGCGTGAGAGCTAAAACTAGGGAGCATGTTAGGTCAGGTGCATGGGATGTATTATTCATATAAGTTAGATGATGTAAGAGTGGGAAGCTCAGAGATGTTTTATTGAAACACACTTATGATTGCAGTCAGAGGCTGCCTCTGTATACAGGAGGGGATTTTAGCGGAGATCAGTGTTCTCTGAAGCCTCAGCACAGTTTAACAGAGGGTGGAGATATTGAGACTCGCCTCTGGAGACAAGGATGTTCAGTGAAGAGAGTGTGGAAGAAGGTGGGGCAAGCCACACCCAGTGTCACTCACCGTGACATCTGTTAATGTGTTCAGCTTTGATTTAGTGTTATGACTGATGGTGTTATGGACACTTAATGAGAGCATTATGTAATAGAGACATATGTTATGCTGTTTCACTGTTGGGGTCTGTTAGATATTCTGAATTTGAAAGACTCTCACAGAGGAAAAATATTTCCACTGCGTCGCTTTATCAAATTACAAGATAATATGTAAATTGGATTAGTACGTATTAGATTAGTGTTACCTTTCAGATGCCTTTTTTAAGGCCAGCAGGGCCCACTCTGTATTATAAATCAATAGCCTAATTTCAGTGATTGGTCGTTAAGTACAGAAAGCCATTACTGGCCTTTCTCTGCTATAGTCTTATTCTAGCATTGACCCAGGCAATAATGATATCCGACACAGCTACTGTGCATAACAAACAACAAACAGAGTTGCCGTTTTTGCCTTTGGATGATCAGTTTAAATGTAAAATGCCCTTCTTTGTAAATGGGGTTAATGGTATCATCCCGTATTGGCTGGTTTGCTTAGAAAGCAAAGTTAGACCGTATCCTAAATCTCACGTTTACAGCCAAATGGGTGAGAATTGATGTGATTACTTTTTTTATGGTCTTCTTCTCTGTCTCTCTTTTTTTTTTTTTACTCTCTCTGTCTCTACCTCGTCTCCTTTCTGTCATGTCCGCCTGGAGGTTGCGAGGCCAGTTGTGTGTCCGAACAAAATCCACCATGGCGTCAGCAAATGTAACACTGGAAAATCAGTTGCAGAGTGCACAGAAAAACCTGCTCTTCCTCCAGCAGGACCACGCCAACACGCTAAAGGGGCTGCATGCAGAGATCCGCAGATTACAGCAGCAGTGCACAGGTGAGAAGGGCCACAAGTAGGACTTCACGCTGCTGTGGAAGACCAACACATTTAATCTCAACTGTGGTAGGGAGTGCTCATGAATTTAAAACAGAGGCTTTTGCTGAACCTAAGCTTATGCCTGGAACTAAAGGTCAGCAAGATGATGCGTTTCCAGTGCTAAATATGTCTGAAAAAATATGGCGACTTACTGGCAGTAATAGATACACGCAGCAGACATAAATATGGTCGCCCAGGAAAAGGAGAAAACAGCATGATCTGCCCCTGACTTCCTGTATCCAGGGCTAACCTGTTTACTAAAGCTGACGATGAGCTCTCACTAATCTTATTAAATGGACACTGCCATATGGAAAGCACAGACATGTTTTCCCCAAACTTGCTTTGCTGTTAATTAGTATGTGAGGAGCATGCTGTTAGATAGCTGCCCTGTTCTAGCCTCATGTAGCGCAGGCATTATAAATAACCCTCTTCTTTTTCTTTCATAGACCTGACGTATGAGCTCACTATCAGAAGCTCCGATCCCTCAGGTAAGCATCATTTGTAGTACACAAGCACCAGTTATACCACTGGCATTCAGCGTTGTTGTCATGAGTTAGCGATGCCATTAATTTGTTGTGGAAAGGTGATTACTGCTAATGCTTTACACACTGTTTTGCCCAGTGTGAGCCCTTTGGTCTAGCCCTTTTCTTTTTAGACCAGTCAGTCTTATTAGTTCAATCTTCTGACATGACACTGGTATTCTGACAAGAGAAGCTAAAAAAACTGTTTCAAATTATACTCACTTCCCCCAGGTAAAATATTTTTTTATTCTTTGTCTTTTGGGTTTTAGAATGATATATTACATTTTCTGTAACTACTTCAAACTGTGCAGCACAAAACCCCCACAGCAGTAAAGGCTGTAAATCAGTGTTTTTTCCTTTGAAATAGAGGTCTGTGTCAGTGGACAGGCCTGGGAGCACAGCACTCTCCCTGTTCCCACCCAAGAAGTATTGCAGTGTGGGCCTCCCTGCTGTTTATTGCAGCTCCCATTGCTCATTGCCACCTGCCCCTCCCCCATAAAACCAGGGCCATGACATGGAGTGACATCACTGGTCTGAATCACATGCTGCTCCACAGCACAGCCTCAAAGGCACCTGATAGGCGGAATACAATTTAATTTATGTACAAACTATTGATGGCCACACTGATGTGTGCAAGTGAGTATGTCACCAGGAGCACATTACGTAGTTGGTGTCCTTAAAGGCCCAGCCTCAATCAGTATTGTCAAGGCCTCCAGTCAGAAGCACTATCATGTTAGTGGGGGACATCTCAGAGATTGGAGTGCAGGAAATGAGATTATGTGTCACAGCACTAATGCACACACTGCTAAATGCTCACTTTAGCAGGGCCCAGCTGTTCTAGCTGTAGCAAACATGTACCAGCCCCTCCTTCAGAAAGTGAAAAAAATTATATAACATTGCTGTAACCACCCCTGTATTTGATTAGACTAAATGAAGGAATTGCAAAGGATTGAGGATTTCTACTGAATAAAAAATACACAAATGTGCTTCATTCCATATTTTTTGCACATATACAAACATAGCTATACATTGATTGTACCTGGGTGGGGCAAGGCTGGGTGGGGGCAGCAGTGATGGAGATCACATGGGAGTACTCTGTCTACCACAGATGTAATGTGAGACAGAAGCTCTCTGCCCACTGCAGATGAGTCTCTGTAGGATCATACCATCTCTGTCAGCCTATAGTCAGCGTCTGCACTTAATGCACTAATGATTAGTCCGGTGGTCTTTGGAGCCAGACTTTCTTGTAGTTTTTTAAAGTGGTGGTTTGTTGTTATTTTTTTGTTTGTTTATTTTGTCATTAATCATTCAAGCATAAAAATGGTAGCTAAGTCAAGGGATGAACCAGCAAAGAAGCTATTTTAAATTGTATCTTTAGGCACTTTGTTACTAGCAGTCACAACAACACAAAATTTCTTCCAGTTTCTTTAGTTGTGTAAATGAAAAATGCCAAAGACTACACAGTTTAAGAGAGTTAAGATTTACATGAGTATTTTTGCACCAACAAAGTGATTCCCAAAGAGCTGTTAGCTGAAAACTTGGCATGTCTCAGCATGGTGTGCAGTGTCCTTAAAACTGAACAAGCAGAGGACAGATAGAAGAAATGTTAGGTTTTAAAAATGACCTACACTAGATAAACAGTATCTGAAAGTCGTTTCCAACAGAAAGACCTGTCTTGAGACCTGAGATATGCATCTGACCCTTCATTTGATTCATCGTCTGTTCACTGAAGCTTCATCAGAAATGATGTCAGTGGAAGTGCGTCTGTCAAGAAGCTGTTATTAAGCAAGGGAAATGAGGACAAAAGGCTGAAGAATTGCACTGATAGTCAGTGGCAACAGGTCTTTACAGAGTGATGATTCCAAACTTGAAATTTCTTTAAAATTTATTTTATTTATTTTTGTTCAAATGATTGTCGGTATGTACGGAGGTATTCAGGATAGAGGGACAACAGAAATTGTCTACAGCCGTAAAACACAGTGGGGGCTCTGTCATGGTTTGAGGCTGCATTTCAGCAAGTGGAGTTCGGGATCTCATCAAAATTGATGCAATTATGAAAGCAGAAAAGTAGAATACCATTGCAGCACCATCTGGAGTAACAACGTACTAGCAACAGCTTTATTTTCTTTATTTTTCAGATCCCAAACAGATTGCTAATGCAGTCAAAGCATAGTTGGATAGAAAAACATAGAATGGATTGGCCTCATTAGAGCTCAGACCTCAACATTATTAAGACTGCTTAAAGAAAATTTCAAGAAAGCTTGTCTAAGAGAGTTCAGGCTGTGTTGAAGAATAAAGGTGGTCATATCAAATATTGACTTTCATGTTAGAATTATCAAACTATTTTTCCTTTTATTCTGTATTTACATGTATGTTTGCATCTTTCAGTAATTGCTGCACTATTTCCTATTTTCCTGTCAACATATAAAGGAATGTTGGGTGGCTTGAGACTTTTGCACAGTACTCCATGTAAGAGCTGTTGGGTTTTTTCTGTGTGTGCAGACAGCAGCGAGGCCCGATGCAGGGAGCTGCAAAGGAGGTGTGAGGAGCTGGAGGCCCAGTTGAAGAAGAAAGAGGAGGAGAACACAGAGCTTCTCAGGGACCTGGAGCAAAAGAACGCCATGATTTCTGTCCTGGAAAACACCATCAAAGAGAGAGAAAAGAAGTACCTGGAGGAGCTTAAGATGAAGAGCCATAAACTGGCTGTTTTGTCTGGGGAGTTAGAGCAGAGAGCCAGTACCATTGCTTACCTTACCTCACAACTACACGCCACTAAGAAAAAGCTGTTAGCCAGCAGTTCCTCTGAGGCCAGCCCTAACGCCAGTCCTGTCACCTCGTACAAGCCCACGCCTCCACCGGCCAAGGACAGGCAGCCTGAAACCCCACGTCGCCGCATGAAGAAGAGCCTCTCCCAGCCTCTACATCCAGAGTTGACAGAGGTGTATCGCCTTGGAGCGGACGGTAGACGGATGGTGCTGCGGGAGACAGTGGAGGCCATGCCTGACCCAACACCCTTCTTGCAGGCAGGCAGAGAGTCTCCTGAACCACAGGTAGTTCGTGAGCGGCCTGCTGTCATCCCTCCCATTGCCCCTGAGCGCTCACATGCTCCTCCACTTGGCGCTATGGCAAGTCCGCGACACAGCCCCGCACGGGACCGTCAGTACAGGGCTCACGTGGGCGTGGCACACCGCATTCCACATGGCACTCCTCCCATGGCTCCGCCACAGGCGGACGTGGAGACTCTGGCAGTGGACCAGGTCAACGAGGAGAAGGTTGTGCGGAAGCGCTCGGGAGCCGACAGGACAGTTTAACACTGCACTGCAAACCTGCACCTTAAATGCACATCTACTGTATACACACCACACTGCAAGAACAAGAAGCAGCCTGAACCACTTTGTAGCCTGCTTTTGACGCAACACTGCAATATTAAAAAAGAAACTATGAAAATATATTATGATTTGGTGATGGTATTCCATTAGGACTTTTGTTTTTTTTTTCATATACAGTAGAAATGGACTACTATAAAGCATGCCAAATGTTTATTTACTGTACACCCCAGTGAGTCCTTGTACTATCACACATTGACTTTTTGCTTAGGCTTTCACTTCATTCTGTCTTACATGGTGCACACAACAAATTCTTAGCCAAATATCTGCATCAGTGCCTGCTGAACCAGTGTTACCATACACGAGCTCCATAATGTAGTCATGGCTAATAGTTATATTTACATATCTCTGTCTTCTTCATCTTCTCTGGACATATCAACAAACTGTATAACAAGCTGTGTGCAGCTGCTTAGGATAGAGCTGAAATAATTAAACTATTACTCCCTGAATGTCTTTCATCTGCTTGTGATATCAGTATAATAACAGCCCTGTAGGTATGAGCTGTGTAATATGCAATCAGACGATTGGCAGTTGCGAAGGTGAAAACTGGACTCTCATCTTTTCCTTTGCTGACTGGGAGAAACAGCAATAGGCGTGAGAGAGAGAGCGACAGCGAGTGCGTGTTTCTGAGAGACAGTGTAAGCCACTGTGACAACTAAATTTTAGTTTCAACATTTATCCATTGATGTTGTCATGCAAGGGCATTTTTTTCAAAAACACTGCTGTAATAGGATTTTTGTGATATTATTAATTGTACTTTATAAAAGCTGTACATTTGTAATGAATTCCTTTTTTTTATTTATTATTGATTGTAGGACTCAATAGAAAGTACAACAACACCTCAGATATTCACTGTAGTTACACCACCAATGTGACGGTAATTAAAATCACTAAATAATCTGCTTTTCACTGTAAGGTGTACTATACAAAACAGTACAATAAACAATAAATGATTTTTTTCAAAGGGTTACTGGGTTTCTGTTAGTGGCTGATGGGCCACACTGAAAGTGTTCTCCATGATCCAAACTGTGGCTGTTTTGCACACCTGTCTACACCAGCAGCCATGCAGTCACATGACTATAACTCACAATACCATTGTTATGCTTGACCCATTTACAGAGTCTGTTGTTCTTAGATTTAAACAAAAATAAAAACTGAATCACATCAGGAAAAAATCTGCCTTTTTATACTTACCTGTGTATGTACTTCTACCAGACACTAGGTGTCCCAATTTTTAAAAGAAAATGTCACTGAAGGGATATTAGTCACTGTATGAAAACAAAGACTGCATTACATGTAAACAGTACCTTAAAAACATAAAAAACATTTGTAAAACATAATATTTTACTTCAATGATTTGGTTGTAAGAACCAGTTCTTAGGGCAAAAATGTTACTTTAAGATTAAATGTATACTTAGTCTTACGAGTCTCGAGTTTTGCTGTAACATGATAATAGAATCAGAATTTGGCACAAAGACATGAAAGCATGAATATATCCATTGAGCCTGTGGTGGTGTGAAAATGTGCAGGATATTTACTGACACACTTAGGCCTGTTAGTACTAGCTGAGCATCCTTTAAGTGCCACAGCCTATCCTTAGTATTGTTGCTGACCAGGACCACAGTGTACCTATAGTCTGATGGCTGCCTCCAGCAGGTTCACTGTACTCAAAGGAGGTCCTGTTAAAGTGGCTGACGAGTGGATACTGTGTGACAGAAGTTTTGGAAAAGCTAGTAATTTCCTAAATATTTACAGTACAACTATATTTAGGGTCACATTTGATGCAAGAAGTAAATTTCCTAGTGGGCCTTCCTGTGCGGGCTTCCCTACCCAGTCCAGAGTGCTTTTGTGATCAATTCTAATAGAAAAATGCTTTATGTCTGCCCAATTCAAATTACACTTGTTTATTCTCCGTTTATTCCAGAGGTGGCTCCAAACAACTACTAACTGTCTCCTTTGCACAGCCTGAGCACAGGGACCGACGCACGAGCACCACAGATGAGTGATTAAAATAAATTTTATTTTTGATATGGCATATTTGGTTAAACTCACTTAAGGTAGGCTTTTCTCAGTCTTTACAGGTACTCTGTATTGAGACTAAATGCAGTTTTTATAAATCATTTGGCATAACATTCTCTTTCCTTTTAGGTTCATATTTACAATCCAAAAGGCCACTTAATGCACTTTACAGGACTGCTATTGATGGACATTTACACACAATAATAAACACACAATAAACAACAAATACAGTTTGTTTTCTTACTCTTCTCAAAAATAGCATAAACTTATGTCCTAGTGGTGACATACCAAAGAGCCTGTTTCAAGGGGTTAAAACGTTCACTCCTGACTTGAGAGCATTTGAAAGCGCTCAAGTTAAAAAGTGCACAGAGGGGGAAATATATATTTTTTAAAGTCCTTTTTGGCATGCCCCCACAATAAGGAAATCTTTTTTTTTTCAACGACAAATGACAGAAAGTGCTTTGTTGTCAACGTGGTATTGGCTTCACAATCCCTCAAATCACTACTGAGTATTATTTTAACTTGTACGAACTCGCTTTAATTTCTAAGAGCTTCACTTTGTCTTGATATGCGATGAAGACCTTCAGGCTTGCCACGTCTTGCCTGCTCCGTCATTGTGCAGGATCTAATATCTTGGCTGGCGATGTCAATTTCTTCTGTTGAAAGCCTGGACAGAGAAATGACTGTGTGTTATTTCAAAAAACTTACAACAAAGCTGGACAGAGAACAAAACTCAAAGTGCAAACCTGAATCTGTAAGAGTCAACTGATTTAATTCTTCCTCCAGCTGCTCGGTGCTAATATTCAAGGGGCGTTGAGGTATGTCGGGCAGAGAACTGAGGATGGACTCAGCAGAGGGCTGCAGATTGGTTGCTGGGACTGTGGGTAAACCTGAGACGGAATCTGGCTTTGAATCATTCAACAAAGATTTCAGTTCTTCCTCCAGCTCATCCATGTCTTCATCTACAGAACAAAAACACAAAAAGACATGATTAACTTAGAGCTCTATTAAAATCAGATATAAAGCATCTTGTAGATACAGCTCAAACAGAATGACTTACCTGCAGCAGTCACACCGCTGGATATAGTCTGGTTCACCTCATCTTGAGTGTCACATAACTGTTTACAGAGAGGATACATGAAGATCGTTAAATGCTGGAGTTAACTAAAGTGGATCTATTATGCCTTCTCCTTATGTTTTTGTCATTCATATATTGTTAGAGTGATGCATTCTCATATTAATTATGACTAAAGTTTCAAGTTATGAGGTCAGTCCACATGTAAATTTTAAGAAAAAGTATAAAATAACCACTTAAGACTTTAGTCCAACAATAATTAAAGTAACTTAACCATGCTGTCATATAATAACACTGAAAAGTATTTTCTACCTGAGTTGTTGTATTTTGTATTCTGTTTTTGCACCATGTGATCACATCAGTAATTTTTCAGAGTTGCACATCCCTAGTTGCTATCATCTCCTCCGCCATGGCCTGTTTGTACTCAGAGATGTTTTTTGTACAGTGAAAACACATTTACTTGTTGTTTTCATATTTAGCAGGAATTGTGCTTTGTTGGAGGTTTTTTTGAAGCAGTTCCCTTTTTAGGTGCTTTGTTATGCTGCTTTAGAGATGATGGTGACTGTCAAAGTGGAGCCAATGAGAACTGATAATGTTATCAGAGTTGCTAAATTCTTATCAATTCCCATCCCTAAGTATATCTAATATCAGCACTGATACCACTACTTTTAACCTATAAAAGGCAGCTTATGTAGGGGAGAGCTGTGTGTCATCATCAGTTTGCAAATTCTGAACACATCATAATGAGTCCCACTTAAAAATAATAAAACATGCAATTAAGTTGAACATAAAAAGAAGTTGTGTACCTCCTGGATTTGATCCACAAGGCTCTCAGCGCGCTCCACAGTCACATCTTTGAGAGAGAGCCTCAAGGCAGCCACTCCAGCCTGATATGCTTGCATAACCTAAAGACATGAGACAACAACCAGCTTGGTTATAAACAGCTGTACAATAAGGCTGTGGCAGCTCCTGTTAGTGTTGCCCTTACCATCTTATCACTCTGTGACTGGGCTATTCGATCCAGGATTTCCCTGATGGACTCCAGCTTGGCAAATAAGTTGTCTGCTCTCTTTTCTACCCTCTTGCGACCTCTCAAACACCTCAGTGCCTTTTTGGATTGACAGCAAACATAAATAGGTGCTGTGACTGCCATCGCATATTTGGTTGCAAGTGCTTAAATGACTTTTTGTTTTGTTTTTTAAACAGTCAACATTAGTAATAACCTGTGATTTCTTCCCTTCCCGCAGCAGAATCCTTGCTTCCTCTTTGCACCTGCAATTAGATCACGTAAAGCAATTTCAGCAAAAATCTGTCTTTCTGAATCACTGTTCCTAAAAAATAAAATAAAATTTAAAGAAATCTGATGACACGAGTAGCACACAAACCAAATCAATCGTTTATTATAAAATGTGAGTTACTTGTCAGCCTCGAGACCCAATTTCTCAACCCGCTCTCCAAGCAGTTTCTCACTGCGCTGCAGCTGATAGATGCCTATGTCCACGTCACTAACCGCAGACACGCGGTCCTGTCCAGGTAGACAAAACTTAACAATCTGTAAGAGAAAACACACAAGGACAGAGAGATTCCTTACATAAAGATGTCGCTGAAAATGTTAAATGTGCAGATTGTTAATGGTGGGCAGACTTACCTTCTCGCCTTCGTGCAACGAAACCATGACTTGCTTGTCCCTCTGCAGCTGCAGGAGCGCCATGCATAGGGTGCCCTCATCAGCACAGATGTTAGAGGAGAGGGTGCAGAGATCTTGAAATGACACAATGGAGCAGCTTGAAAATTCACTGCTGCGGTAGACCCTGAGTAATTCTGCTGCTTTCTCCTGGGGAACAAAAAGAGAATTTTGTATTTTAATGGCTGCCAAATACTGGAGAAATGGAAAGAGAAATCCCTCATCCTAGCTGCAATTCAAAATATGCAAGATGCATTTAATTTGGCTCACTAATATGCAGCATCAGGGCTTGACATCTACTGCAATATGAAACTTAACGTGCATTATGGGAGATCAAGATAAGAAATGCGCACAGTATTAACTTAGAGAAGTTATTGACAGTATAACTAAAAATGTAAAGATCTCAGTGGCTTGAATGTATGGATGTCAGCTGCTATGAATATGTGAACTTTAATGAGAACAACAAACCTTTACTAGTTCAATGATGACAAAAGACTCCTCCAAATGCACCCGGCTGCTACCCAAAAGAGCCGAGAAGGTCCACTTTAGAGGCTTCACTAGCAGCAGACCCACACCCCAGGACAACCAGCCACAGTCCACATTAGCAGCAAACTCCGACTCCCTCTGGATCTTCCCGCATCTGTCCGCCGAAAAAGAAAAATACAGACAATCTAAGTAGACTGACCCAGACTGGCAGGCTTAGTGAGGGGGGGCAGAGATTCACTTACGTGGCCATGGACTGGATGACAGTAGCCAAGCCAAGCGGTGACTTTTCTTTTCTCTTGAAGATTTTGTTCAGTTCCTGCAGATTGACACAGACGGTGCGGCGGTCCTTGCAGCTCTTCACGATCAGAGCCGTCCAGAAGTCCATCTTACTGTCCCAGTCCGTAGTGTTGACGTCTCGGTTCTCCTTGAAGTCGGAGAACATAAAATTCATCCGCTCATCGTCGTCCCATTCGAGGGGGAGCGTAATTTCAGCGGAGTTCGACATTTGTAACACACAAAGCTAAAGTTTCAGTAAACCTGTTTATCGGCTAGCTTGCTGTTTTTGCCAATCGGACAGCTGAGGCAGCTAGCTTAAAACCGAAGCAGCGTTTGGTTAGCTAGCAACATCCACCAGGAGCCCTTTAAAAAGAGCCAGAATATCACCGCTCAACGTTTAATAACATGTAAGTCCAGATGTCACCTG